TGGGCTGGGCTTGCAGAGCTGGAGAGCCTGGAGGAGCTAGAGAAGAAGAGGATTTGCCGCATCATCAGCACCGATTTCCCCCGCTACTTCGTGGTCATGTCCCGCGTCTGCCAGGACTGCGACCTGATTGGCCCGGAGGGGGGGTGTCTGAAGAGCTCCCTAGTGCCCATGGTGCAGGCCACCTTCCCGGAGACGGCTGTCACCAAGAGAGTCAAGCTGGCTCTGCAGGTACCGGTCCTCCCTGGGCCAGGGACAGACAGAGGATGGGTAGGTTCCAGGCATCGCTGCCCCAGGCCAACAGAGACAGGGACCGGTCCCAGGTGTCAATGCCCCGGGGCCGACACGGACGAAGGGACAGAGTCTGAGGGTATGTCTACACTACAGAGTTTTTTTCGGAAAAACAACCATTTTTCCAAAATAACTTCAATTATGTCCACCCTGCAGTTGTGTTCTTCTGCAAGAAAATTGAGAGAATTGAGGGGGTTTCCGAGATTGGTAATCCTCATTTTACTAGGAAGAACCCTTTTTCCAAAAGAGCGTGTTTGGAAACAGGCGTGTGTGGACGGGGAAGAGGGAGTTCTTTCAACAGAAGAGGAAAGAGGAGAAAGCACAGGTGTCCTGGTAGCCACACCGTCCACAGTAATCACAGCTGAAATGCGAGAGAGCGTCTGGTCAGTGTGGACACTCTCTTTTGGAAGATCTCTTCCGGAAAAGCTTCTTCCGAAAGAAGCCTGCAGTCTAGACATAGATTGTCTCTGCCCCGGGGCTGACAGACAGACGAACAGACAGAGGCTGGGCAGGCTGGGTGGGTGCCAGGTGTCACTGCCCCGGGGCTGACAGACAGACAGACAGACAGAGGCTGGGCAGGCTGGGTGGGTGCCAGGTGTCACTGCCCCGGGGCTGACAGACAGACAGACAGACAGAGGCTGGGCAGGCTGGGTGGGTGCCAGGTGTCACTGCCCCGGGGCTGACAGACAGACAGACAGACAGAGGCTGGGCAGGCTGGGTGGGTGCCAGGTGTCACTGCCCCGGGGCTGACAGACAGACAGACAGACAGAGGCTGGGCAGGCTGGGTGGGTGCCAGGTGTCACTGCCCCGGGGCTGACAGACAGACAGACAGACAGAGGCTGGGCAGGCTGGGTGGGTGCCAGGTGTCACTGCCCCGGGGCTGACAGACAGACAGACAGACAGAGGCTGGGCAGGCTGGGTGGGTGCCAGGTGTCACTGCCCCGGGGCTGACAGACAGACAGACAGACAGAGGCTGGGCAGGCTGGGTGGGTGCCAGGTGTCACTGCCCCGGGGCTGACAGACAGACAGACAGACAGAGGCTGGGCAGGCTGGGTGGGTGCCAGGTGTCACTGCCCCGGGGCTGACAGACAGACAGACAGACAGAGGCTGGGCAGGCTGGGTGGGTGCCAGGTGTCACTGCCCCGGGGCTGACAGACAGACAGACAGACAGAGGCTGGGCAGGCTGGGTGGGTGCCAGGTGTCACTGCCCCGGGGCTGACAGACAGACAGACAGACAGAGGCTGGGCAGGCTGGGTGGGTGCCAGGTGTCACTGCCCCGGGGCTGACAGACAGACAGACAGACAGAGGCTGGGCAGGCTGGGTGGGTGCCAGGTGTCACTGCCCCGGGGCTGACAGACAGACAGACAGACAGAGGCTGGGCAGGCTGGGTGGGTGCCAGGTGTCACTGCCCCGGGGCTGACAGACAGACAGACAGACAGAGGCTGGGCAGGCTGGGTGGGTGCCAGGTGTCACTGCCCCGGGGCTGACAGACAGACAGACAGACAGAGGCTGGGCAGGCTGGGTGGGTGCCAGGTGTCACTGCCCCGGGGCTGACAGACAGACAGACAGACAGAGGCTGGGCAGGCTGGGTGGGTGCCAGGTGTCACTGCCCCGGGGCTGACAGACAGACAGACAGACAGAGGCTGGGCAGGCTGGGTGGGTGCCAGGTGTCACTGCCCCGGGGCTGACAGACAGACAGACAGACAGAGGCTGGGCAGGCTGGGTGGGTGCCAGGTGTCACTGCCCCGGGGCTGACAGACAGACAGACAGACAGAGGCTGGGCAGGCTGGGTGGGTGCCAGGTGTCACTGCCCCGGGGCTGACAGACAGACAGACAGACAGAGGCTGGGCAGGCTGGGTGGGTGCCAGGTGTCACTGCCCCGGGGCTGACAGACAGACAGACAGACAGAGGCTGGGCAGGCTGGGTGGGTGCCAGGTGTCACTGCCCCGGGGCTGACAGACAGACAGACAGACAGAGGCTGGGCAGGCTGGGTGGGTGCCAGGTGTCACTGCCCCGGGGCTGACAGACAGACAGACAGACAGAGGCTGGGCAGGCTGGGTGGGTGCCAGGTGTCACTGCCCCGGGGCTGACAGACAGACAGACAGACAGAGGCTGGGCAGGCTGGGTGGGTGCCAGGTGTCACTGCCCCGGGGCTGACAGACAGACAGACAGACAGAGGCTGGGCAGGCTGGGTGGGTGCCAGGTGTCACTGCCCCGGGGCTGACAGACAGACAGACAGACAGAGGCTGGGCAGGCTGGGTGGGTGCCAGGTGTCACTGCCCCGGGGCTGACAGACAGACAGACAGACAGAGGCTGGGCAGGCTGGGTGGGTGCCAGGTGTCACTGCCCCGGGGCTGACAGACAGACAGACAGACAGAGGCTGGGCACAGCCCAGGCCCAGTGGGAGGACATCACAGGGACTACGAAGCTGGTGTACGCCCATGAGTGTGCCAGCTTCACCACCAAAGTGTCTGCCCGGTGAGCGGCGGGTGCCCGGTGCCTCGTGTGGCCTGGGGCTGGGTGGCAGGGTGGGGCCCAGGCCAAGGGGAGCCAGAGGAGGCTGTGGCAAGGCCGGGACCCGGGGCCCTGGCTGTGTGAAGGGAAAAGTCTCCATGATTCCCAGGCTGCAAATCCAGGACCTCTGGCGCTCTCAGCCCCCGGGCCACCAAGGATTCCCACGAGCCTCGGGCACTGTGTCCTCGCACGTGTGTGCAATCACGCGTGTGCAAACGCGGTCTCCTGCGTATACAGCAACGCCCAGCAGGGGGCCCCCGGCCACAGGCAGGGCCCCAGAGCCACGCACACTCGGGCTGGGGTTGGGTTTCCCCATTTTCCTCCTGATGCCCCCTCATGCCCCGTGTGATGCCTGGCCCGGAAATCTGTTCTCTGAGGGGGAGCAGGAGGGTTGTGGGGCAGCCCGTGGGGCTGGGGCTGGGCTGTGGTGACCGCGTGGGGCCGTGCCCTGCAGGTTCTGGCTGGCAGATTGCCCGCGCACGGCCGAGGCTGCCCACTTCCCCAGCCTGCTGTACCAGGAGCTGACGGCCGTGCCCTACATGGCCAAGTTCGTGGTGTTTGCCAAGATGAGCAGCACGCGGGAGGGGCGGCTGCGCTGCTACTGCATGACCGACGACACAGTGGACAAGACGCTGGAGCAGCACCAGA